TACGACGCCATCTTCAAAATTCGACTTTCCTTAAGTTGAGAGACCCAATTTATTAAGTATTAAAAACATAGAATTGCTTAACTAGAATTATTGCCATCTGTTTTAAAAAATGGTCTGTCTTGGTACTGGATAATAGTGTTTTTTATATTTTAATTATTTATATAAATAATCTATCCGATAAAAGTTGAAGAATTTTAACAGTTGATGAGTGTTGGTTGGTAGTTCATACAACACTGAATCCAATAATTGTTTTGTCAAAAATGGGCAGATATTTTTAATAGTTGTGTATAAGTAAAAAGTAATAACCAGAGCAAATCAACAATATGCAATATATATATATATATAATTAAATTTTGACCCATTTAATAAATTTTCATATTTTTGGTTGTTTCTTTAACAAAATTTGTAGTGCATATTAAAAAAAAAATCTTTTAAATACCAAGTACATATCGTCACCTGAAGTGCAAAAATACGTCATGGTGGAATTATTGCGCCTTGAAAAGACGTAACAAGCATCGTCGCTGAAATACAAAATGTCCTAACTTCTAAAAAATTCAAAATTCAGTTTTTGATTGATATGAAGGATTTCATCGAATAACAACTCCCACATAAATAAAAATATTACTCACGACTTTTTCCATTTCAGTTACGATGTTGTTACATCTTTTTGCATTTCAGATCACGATATGTAGGTATATTTGTGTATACTTATCGCAATTGTAATATTAAATGGGTAGGATGTATTGTCGCCACCAATGCAAAATACCCTTAATGCAAAGTTTCATAGCAAAAGCAGTGAACTGATTAAATAAACATAAAAAATGCCCTCAGAATTATTCTAATAAAGCTTGTATTTGGAAGATATCACCATGACTTTTAGCACGGAGGCATATTTGGAAAAAAAATATAAAGGACTAAATATAAGAATTTATCTCGAAAAATGCCTATTACGGCCCTTCGCATTGGTATCGACATATACATCCATGCCTATGTATGCAGTCTAAGGCAAACTACTATTAAAGTGTATTCCCACGCATCTTCATAAACGCAAATCTTCATGCAAATTACTTGAGTAACGGCCGTGCCCGTTATATTTCAAATTTAGCTCATATCTTGCAATACGTTCATT